AGTAACCACCGGTAAACAAGAACTCCGCAACAGTCCACCGATGTCCAACGTACTCAGCCTCTCCATGCCTCTCACATTCCCCCATCCCCCCTCCCACCTCCTGCGAAAGCTCCAAGCTCTGAAGTCCCACAGGCCCCAGCGCTTGGAAGCTGCGGCCCGGGGAGTCCTCGTCCTCCTCTTGTGGGAAGGAAAAGCCCTTCAGCAGCGCAGGCACCTCCCAGACGCTGGTGAGGGCCCTGCATGCCACCTGCAAGGTAGCACTCAGCTATCATTGTCGTAGCTTTGCTTAGCGCTCTGCGCTCAGATTCTGAACACATCTTTGAGTGTCGGAACATTGCAGAGCAAACAGGGGGGGGTGAGCGCTTGCACGTTCCTAAGCATAAGCGTTACTGTATCATCGTGTCGCATCGTGGCCATCAAACAGCGTACGTACAATCGGTGCCTTGGAGCCCGACAATCGCACCTTGCAAGCACCTGGTGTCGCGGCATGGCAGTCACCATGTTATTCAGACGTTTGCTCCTCTAAGGCAATGACAACTTGACAGAAGTCACGGCAGGAGACACCACGCACCACGCAACACAGCACAACACAACAGAGCACAACACAGCACATGGTCTTGGCCCCGGGTACGCCGATAGGCCCCAAGATACGGCATGAGACAGGAGTCGCAACACCGCGCAAGACGTATGACACCGCACACGAGGCGGAACCCAGAAGGGCAGGAAGCTACGAACAGCCGAGAAGTCCGAAAGCACGAAAAGCCGACAAGCCTAAGCTGAAATGATCCCCGGAGCCTGGAAGCCCAATTAACTAGGTTGCTCTTGGCTAAAATTAGGTTGTTTGATGGTGTGTTGCTAGTTGTGTTTCTGCTGTTGATTCATGTACTCTCTCTCTCTCTCCCAGAGATTGTAAGGTTACGGTTTGCGGCTTAGGGCCCGGCTGCGTGTTCCCGAGCCCAACGACATTCCAAGCCTTCCGAGCCCCATGCTCGTCGAAGATTGCTTATCTTGGCCCGGAGGGAGTGATGCTGAAAGAAAACATTTCGAGATTGAAAAACAATCTCGAAACATGGAACACCATGCTGGCCACCCATCCACCCATGCCTTTGCTCAGCCACAATAAACTATCACCTTTCGGCTGCGCATTCCACAAAAACGAAGTTTCTTGGTGTCCAATCGAGACCTCAAGGCCACTTTTGAATGCACGCAACTCCCTTGCAATGAAGGCACTGGACTTCCACGATGCCACCAGCAGGCCAACTCCAAAAGCGCCCAGGCACACTTGCCCAGCCTTGCTTGCTGCAAGAACCGTCACTTCTATGCAGCCCTTTTGATGAAAACAGCACCAATGCAAAACTTTCCTACTCCTTGGTATCTCACAGGCAACAAGCCCAACGTTCTGCTCAACCAAACCATGACAATCTGGGGCACGGAAAGCTGTGTGGCTTCGAAGGGCAGCCGCGCAAGTGCCAGCGGCTGCCACGGAAGGGGCGAGCTGACCCGGCCACCGTACTGCACGAAGGTGCCACCTCAGGAAGTACGAGGGTTTCAAAGCTTGCAAGGTTTGAGCCTGCAGATGCAGGGAAGCCCCCCCCCCTCCGAAACTCAGATTTGAAGTTCGGATTCGGCGCCTAAATTCGGCGCGTGCTGGTTGAAGCCCCAGTGCACCCAACGCTCACGTGGTCCAGACGCCTAACTTTGTGCCCAAGTTCCTTTCAACCGAGGTCCGCTGCCGACAGACGCCCTCGGTGCTCAATTCCGACATCGAAAGAAGTTGCCCCATGCGCAATCGATTCTTTTTCGGCTGCTCGGGCCTTCCTTGTTGCCGTAAGTGATGGCCATGTCTAGGGTTCCATGAGAAACCTTCCCGTAAGGGACCTTCCTAAAATCGGAATATGGACATCGTCACCCTCCGGTGCCGCACGTCGCCTTCGCGGCCGAATGTCACCTTCCGGGCCGAATTTCGTCTTGGCGCCGAATGTTGTCTTCGGGGGGCCCGAATGTCGTCTCCAGCGCTGATATTCGTCTGCGAGGCCGAATATCGTCTTCGGGCCCGAGGTTCGTCTAGTTTCGTCTTCGGGCCGAGTTTCGACTTCGGTCACGGACTTCGTCTTCTGGACCTGTGCTTGTCTGAAAAAATTCTGGATCTCATCTTCGGGGCTGAGTGGTGTCGAGTTTTGCCTTCGGAGCCCAATTTCGCCTTCGGCGTTTTGTGAGACCGAATTTCGTCTTCGTCTGACCTTCGCCTTTGTGATTGTGACGAGTCTTCGCACGCATTTGGAGCTTCAGCTCCTCGCAAACAGTATCGTCTTCATCGTCTTCGAAGTTTAAGCTTCGGGTAGGACGAAATGGGGACCCAGCTTCCAGGTCAACCGTGGGCCTAACTGCAGCCAGGAGTCCCCAGCGAACGTAAGCGAGGCCGATCGCGATCAGGCTCGCCAATCCGCAGCGCCTGGTTTTCTCAACAGTGGTGCGAAGGTGAAGAGCCACATGAGCTCTCAGCTAGCACACCGTGGGAAAGAAGGCATGGCCTCCATGTCCGCATGGCTGTAACCATGTTGCGATCTGCACAAGCACTGCTCGAGCCCGAACGGCTCCAGCTCCCGGTCATGAACCACATGTGCACACAAGCCCTGCCCAGGTTTGGGGAGGCCCTGTGTTTGCGAGCTGTAAAGCTATGAAGCGCTGCAGGATGCGGCCTCCAGGATCTTGTCCAATGCTTCGTCAAAGTCCATCGACAGTAACCGGTCCGCCTGACCGATGGTGGGCGTGTTCCTCATTTGTCATGCAGCTGGTTGCAGTTGCTGCATCTGCGAAGAAGCCGAGCCCATGCTGGGCCAACTAGCAACCGGTCGACAAGCATCGCCCTTGCTGCATACTTCCAGATGGCACTAATTCTATCAGCTCATGTTCAGGAAGCTCTGCTTAGGCAAAAAACGACAACAATCAGACAATTCCTGTCGATCGTTGGGTGGAGCATTGTCCACAGAGTTGGCATGGGAGAAGCACATCAGCCCGAATTAGATCTGTCGGCCTCGTCCATGACAAGGTACTTGATGGTTTTCAAGTGAAAGCCCTGCAGAAGGCAACGGGTCTTCCCGCGTCTAGACACTACAAGTGCAGCATACCCACGAAGAAGTACTCACCGACTTTCCTCTGGCTGCACAGTGGCCTTCGTGTTCTCGAGATGGTCCACGAGCCGACCAGGCGTGGCGATGACCACGTGGGGCCGCTTGGCCAAGGCCATGGCCTGGCGCAAGAGTCTAGAGATGTCTCCAGCATATAGGGCGCGCATGTATATTTTGCGAAATTAAGGGTTTAGGGCTTCGCACTGAGGAGTCTCGCGGCACCTGATCGACCATCGCCAGGCCACCCACCACTGTGGCAGTCTGCAGCTTGATGGTGCTGCCGATGGCCTCCGGGGACTGCAATGCGGGTTTACGAAAAATAGGGGAACCCCTAACATAGCCCCCCAAAAAAGTAGAACTCCCTTGGAGCATCTTAAAATAAGGACCCAATAAGGTACGCCTAATTTCGGAAAGCCCCAAATGTTGGCTCTTAGGCCCGGAAGAATTCTTGGTCCACCTCAAACTGCTCACCGATCTGCACCTGGGCGGAAGCGATAGAGACGGGGACTTGCCACTCTTGCTTAGGACTTCTTGGACTCCACTCTGCCCAGCGCGCCAAGAGCACACGAAAATGCATTAAGGTGACCCGTTCCATGACAACTTCCTGGGAGCCAGGCACACAGCTCGCGCGTGGGCGCAAGGCAGACCGCGTAAAAGCGCTGGGGGTCGTCGAGAAGCCGCTGGCAACAGTTTTTGTTTGCATTGTCAAGAACTTTTGGACAGTTCAAGTGGCAAGCGACATCATGCAGATCCGTGTGGCTGCCGACCCATCACCCGAACACCCCAACATCTCATTCCCCTGTTCCCCTGTTCCCCATGGCAGGCACCTGCACAATAGGCAAGGCAAAAGCACCGGTCTTACCACTGCCGGTCTCGGCCAAGCCAATGATGTCCCGGCCCTGCGTTTCCGAAGCAGCTTCGGCATTGCGCTTCAGTGTCAACTTTGGGATTCCAGGATCTTCGGGGCATACCCGTAGGGTGCAAAATTTGTCGGTTTTTGCCAAGGTCTCTGTGTACGTTCTAAGATGTTCTAAGGGAGTCACACTTCGTGAGATGAGCAGGGCAGGTGGCCTGCAAGGCCCAGGGAATGGCTTCTTGCTGGATCCTGCCGGCGCTTTTGCTGCGACCCTAAACATCCCCAAGAGAGCCCCAAACCTGAAGCACGGAAAACATCCATGCGACGAATGCTGGGGACTGCGGCCATGGCGACTGCATGAAACTGGCCTGGTCGGCTTTGCCCACTTCATGAGCTTTACAGCTTGGCAAAGCTCCTGGCAAGAGATCCCCCCACAAAAGAAGTGAAAGGTAACCTTGCAGTTGCCCCAGCCATATGGCAGTGAGCTGTTATAAAGCAGCTTCAGCCCACACCTCGCAGACCCCAAGAGACTCGAAGGTTGCCTGCCCAGTTCAAGCAGTTGAGGGTTCGGGTCAAGGGGAAGTCCACACCAGTCATTGCCTCTGCTGCATCGACATCTGCGGTGTTCACAGCATCTTTAGGCAGCTGCGGCTGTGTGACCTTATGCAGGATGGACTTGCACGTGCTAACATGCGCATGTCCACAAAGCAGCATGGACAGACACGAAGAGTCGGCCAGTCCCTGAAGTAGTGCACCTTTTTGTTTCTGTTTGTGCTGCTCGATTTGCCTACTCTGGCACCATCACCGACCTCGTGCACATCAAGGGCGAGAGGCGTGCAATCCGAGGAAGTCTCGAGCGGACTTCACCCATTTCTGGTCTTGTTGACACGCACTTCATCACCAGATCCGGTCATCCCGTAGCAGTAGCATCTAGCAGAGGAGGAGGTGGCACAGCTGATTCACGGCTGTCACGGAAACAGTTTGCGAGCGTGATGTATGATGCTCAGGCAGCTCTTTCACCTGCCAGCCTTGCAGCAGGGCAACATTGCTTCCTGCCCAAGCCCCGAATACAGGAGACATTACCAAACAGCGACTAGTTCTGCCGTGGTTCGGAGAAAGCTTTACCCGCTGCGAGCACCTTGTCGGGGGTCACTCCTGCTTGCTGTGCCTTGTTTGACAAGCCAAGGCATTGTAAAGAACCTTGTTAAGACCCACTAGTGCCCAGAGCCGGCTCGCAAACTTAACGATGTGTGACGTGAACTCTGAAATTTCTATACATTTCTCCATTGTTCACGCTGTGCTGCAAATCTGGCGCCGTCGACAACATGGTGTGGTCGAAGACCTGCCTGGTGAGCCATCTGCGCCCCTTGTACGACATGCTGCGGCCTCACGCCAGCTTGATGAGCCATCCGCGCACCTTCCAAGGCGTGCCTTAGATGAATGTACCGAAATCACTCACCTGGTGCTGTTTGCCAGCCGGAAAGCATGCGCTAAACCCAGCCGGGATGCTGAGACGTAACGCCTGACTTCTGGGCAAACTGGGCACCCGCCATCATGTCCTGCGCGCTCATGCCTGACTCCTTGGCAAACCTGGCACCTGCCATGAGGTCCTGCGGTGCCAGAGCTGAGGCATCCTGCCCCCTCCCTTCTGGATCCGGAAAGGCTGCCCGGGCAGAGTCTTTTGAGGCAGGTCGCACCGATTGAAAGGCATCGAGGTCGCCTGGCCAGCCCGCATCTTCCTTGCGGAAGGGATTAGAGGCCGAGGTCGGGCGTGGGCCCGGGAAAGCTGGGAAAGGGGCATCTGGGAAGCCCTGCATGGGCGGCGGAGCTTCACCCCGTGCTTGTGCTGGCATCGCCCAATCAGGTCCCGAGGGGCTGGCCTTCTTGAATGGGTTGTTTTTGCCTGCGGCTGCCTGAGCTGCCTGAGCCTGAGCTGCCGGAGATTGAGCTGCCTGAGCCGCCTGAGCGCTCGGCCGAGCCCAGTCGACGCTTGGGCCCTCGCCTTTGGGAAACCCCTCGCCAAATCCGGGCGCTGGAGGCCAGCCAGCTCCCTGCGCGCCCTGTGCAGGCCAAGCTGGCTGGGCAGGCGTCTCGTCTGGCTCTGGCTCGCCCGGCATACGCCTTGGCTGCAGCTGCGACAGCAGATCCATGGCGCCGGCATCCTCCAGGATCTCTGTCCTGGAATCACCTAGAGAGTGCCAGCTGTAAGTACTGGCAGAGTAAAAAAAGGTGGAACCCTGAAGACGACCTATAGCTTTAAAAGAACGAAAGCAAAACGAAAGAAGCCGGTAAAGCTGTTAGCGGCCCCAGCAGCCCGGGAGAGCCCTCAGGGCATCCTGGACCTTCCTCGATCCAAACAAGGCCATGGACCAGTTGTACGAGGCGCCCAGGGCCCGGATGCACTCCTGGAGCTGCTTCCTCTTATTCACGTGCCGACGGCGCACCTCGAAAAGGAAAAGCCAGGCCGCCTCAATCTGTATGTTGTTGTAGATGGGGGCCTCCAGGAAACCCTCCTCGGCCGCCTCTCGACAGCCTTTGACCAACATGGTGAAGCTGGTGTCGAAGTCATCCGCCTTCTCCTGCCGCCAAACCCGACTCTTGGAACGGATTCGAGTGCAAGCTGCCTTGAACGCACCTCCTCCCACCCCCCCGCGAGTGCTGGAAGAAAAGCTAGTTTCCTCCTGAATGTCTTTCTCCAGCATTTTGCTTAGAAAGCCCAATTGCCGGCTTGCGGAAGCAAGCCCCGCCTTCCAACCTTGCTTCCTTCCCTTCCGTCATCCCATCAAGCTGGAGCACTACTGATATTCTTTCGCCAGGGTGTTGAGAAAAGTTCCAATTGCTTCCGCAACTCTCTTGTTCTGGCAACTGGTGCTTTCTCCCGACGGCTTCGTTGCACACCTTTGCACACCCTACTAAACCCTAAACGATCAAGCCCCAAACCCTAAACCCTAAACACCATGAGCATCTGCACCTTGTAGCTGCCACCCTCGATTCGCTGCAAGGCCTGGAGCAAGCGCGCGCAGCTCTGGCGGATAGCCACCTGAAGCTGGGCGGCAAAAAAAAATCTTGAAGGTTAAGTCAGAATTTCACTTTGGGATCCGGGCCGGGGTCTTAAGTAAGACCCTAAATTTAAACCCTAAACCATGGGAACTCAAGAGGAACGGCTTCAGCAAATCCGGAACAGCCTGGGCATGTCAGAATCTGGGCACTGCCTTGACACCCCCAGGCAACCCTACGTACTGGGAGGTTCATGGGTAGTTCTACATAAGAGGGTTGTAGGTATATGGCAACTATACATATAACTCTTCTGAGGGTGCTTTCAAGCCTACTACTTCTAACTACCCGGACGAATCTTTCAGACATGAGAGGCTCAAACCCTGCCTGGGAGAGCTTCTATGTTCCGACTACGAAGTACGAACTGCAAACTGCGAACTCGGAACTGGATCTGCCAGCTACTACCAGGGGAAGTGCACGTCCACAAAAAAAGGGGCTCGCATTATTCTAGCCCTCAGCCCTCGGAGCCAGGGTGTGCAGCGCGTAGTTCTGCCCTAGCAGTTTTGTGGTTGGTAGCTTGTAGGTGTAGCAATTACTGTGTGAGTACATGTAGTAAGGGCAATCTTGATACCCAAGCCAGGTTACATCCCGCTCGGTCAGCGGCAGCGGCCAGGGCTTGGCGAAATGTTTCTCGTACTCAGCCATGGCCGGCGGGGCTTCACAGCATCAGCTGCCGCTTGACTGCATGCCCTGACATAACAAAAGAATTGTGAGAGACTTGCGCATAGACACAGAAATGGCCCCGGCTTCTTGAGATGTTTTCACGGGTTGCGTTCACACTACAAAAGCGCGATCTCTTTGGAGCTGCTCTGAGCATGCCATGTACAGGCACGGGGTCAGAACACAAGAACACAGATGTTGCTCAAGTGTTGCGCAAACAAGTTGACAACACTTGGCTCTAAGCCTCTTCAGTTTTCTTCTCCACAACCTGCTGTCACGGAGGACAAACATTGACAGTCGCTGACAGCACTGCGTTTCCAAGCCTCCGAGATCACCTTCTTCGCCTTCTTCACCTTCTTAAGCGTCGGCTTCGCTTTCTTGAGTACGGCCTTAGGCTTGGGTCATGCTGGCGATCCGCAGCTACCCATGCTTTACTCATTCTTATAAGTGCCGAGAGCGGTAGACAGCACCCGATCACTGCCCCGGACGCGGACAACCTTCTCGACAGTGAAGCTTGGCTACCGAACCATAGCTGCTGCGTCAGCGCATGATGCACGGCCAGACGAAATGTTCTTCTGTTTTCAGCACACTTGGCAGGTTGCAGACTGCTGGCTGACGTTCTTACCTCGGTTGCTTCAGGGTTTGCGCAACCATGACAGAGGAGCAGAGCCACGCAGCACAGCACGAAGCGGCGATTGCGGATGGACATCAAGCTCTTCACTAATATGCTCTTCAGCTGCGAGGTGCAGGAACACGTTCGTGTCTTATTCCAGGGCAACAGCGCAACTTCCTGGGCACCGCCTTTTTTTCAGAATGTGCATGCGGCTCTTCGCAATCACAGCCAAGGTAGTGAAACGGAATTCTTGAGTGAACACGAGTGGATCCTTCGTCTCACTGCTTCCCCACAAGTGCAGCGGTGGAAAACCAAGACCAAGTTACACAGTACAAGTGCGCAAAGTCGATGACTGTCTTCCTTGAATGAGAGCTACTGTGGTTTCCGGCAAGTGTGAGCACGAGGAGCTGAAGTGGCCACAGATTTGCAGGCCGACAGAGATGCTCCCATCGGAGCAAGTACCCATGAAGACACGCGTCAGCGCCTGGCTTCCAAAGGCGAGGTATCGGGTGCGTTGCAACTTTCTGCACGGGTTCAAGCCGTCGCGCCTGACGACGGTGTTGCCAGCATGGTGCGCTGCCTCCACGTACACCTGAGAACAACGGGATTTGAGAGGTGTCCGAGCGAGCTCGAGAGCTCGTGTCCAGTGACTTTGAGGAGACACAAAAAGACGCAATATGTCACCGACGAAACTAAAAAAACTTTGCGCCATCATGCATAGCGCGGCCTACAGCGCAAACACTGGGTTTGGAACGGTCTTGTCTGCCGCGCGCTTGACCGGCACGTGGTTCAGGTTCACCTTGTGATGGTTGCTCGGCATGGCTTCTTATATCCCCCATACTAATACCCCTTGCAGCAAAATAGACAATATCCTTAAGGGATTATACAAGTAGTATCGGGTAATTACCTACTTGCCTCATTCCCTGCTAAGAACCCATCGAAGAACAGGAAGCCCCTGACCTTGCCGTTGACCACCAGCAGTGGGTTCGGTGCCGACAACACATCCTGGCACAAAGAAATGCAAAGCAAACACGCGGAGACCTGCCGGCGGACACCTTCAGGTAAATGGTGCAGTGTTGCAGAATCTGAACCAACGTGCCGACCTCATTGACACTGACTCCATCGAGGAACTGCTTCAGGATGGAACGCAACCTCACCAGCAGGTATCTCGGCTTGCCGTACGCAGCACTACTTTGTCTTCACAAGGCTGTCTTTCTCTGCTTGGCTTAAAGGCGGCGAAACTGATGACCTGCGGAGGCAGCTCTACCTTTGCAAGCATCGAGAACCCACTCCTCTATCTTACCGGCCGAAACAAACACTGAATTCTCAAGTTGACCAGGCAAATTACTTTCAACAACGTTCAAGACCACCGCTCCAGTTAAACAGCCCGGGCCTAAAGCACGGAGGTGCACACATGAAACAGACCCACCGGCTGAGTTCTGCCAAAGTGGAACCTTTGCAGTGGACTTACGCGTCATGAAGCGCCAGGCAGCTGTACATTCTCTTTGGTGAGGCGCTTTCCCTCCTGACAGCATGGGGTCGGCCGGAAATTCCCGGGTTCATGTTCAGTGCATGGCCTCTCTTATCGCCATGCCCTGACAGACTTGAATGAGTAACGCGGGAAGAATGCTGTGCAGCTTCGGCAGACCGTCCTGTTCAACCGCGTGAAAGTCCAGCTTCACCTGCAGCGCAATGCGGACACGGGATGGCCACATAGGGGACTGTGAACAAAGGGCAGCTTTTTCCCCGTGCCTTGTTGTAGCGTTTGAAGAAGTTGTCCAAATAAGTCCACTCATCGATGCCAACATCTGTGAGCTCTTTACGGATCTCCTCTTTGAGGTCCTGCGCAGCTGGCGATGCGTCCAAAGGCGTAAAGTGCAATACCCAATGTCAGCTAGCACACAAAGGCGCCAGGAATGGCGTCCCCGAAGAAGCACCCCTTGCCCAGCTCACAGGTCCGAGGAGACACGCCCAGGCTTGTGCTCACAGAGTCCTCGTCTCCGAACTCGAGCTCACCCTCTTCAAATTCTTGGAGGATGTCACGCGAGAGGTAAAACGGGAGAACCTCTGCAGGCACGAGGCAAGAACGGCAGATAACTGCAGTCTTCACAGCAGCTCGGCTCTGGCTAGAACATTCTAAAGAACAAGGTCCGGCCTTCTCCCGCTCGGTCTCGAACTTCCTGGATGTGGGGAAGTTGTGGGCAAACGACGATGCGGGCGCAATGAGTCCAACCAGCACTTCAACGCAGTAGCTCGACGCACTGAATGACCAAGACCTTCTCACCCTCTGCATGAAAAAGGAACTGAAGGCAAGGTCCTGCAAAGCTCTGCCGTCTTCAGGATCCTCTCTGCCAGGCCCAACTGATCTTTCAATGACTTGATGCAGTTCCTGCAGCATGGCTTGAAGGCGCTGGGACATACCGCGACATATCTATACTGTTGCAGTTCCCTGCGGCCCTGCGCTAGCCTGCTTTCGTTCCACCAGATGCGGCCCCAACCCCCCACCAGCGCTTTGGGGGTTTTTGGGTTCAACCGAAGAAAACCGTTGGGTCTCAGTGCCTCTTTGTAATTTGGGGGATTTTGGGGCTCAGGGCTGTAGGGCTTGGAGTGGTCCTGGCATTCATTGTCAGGTCCGCGAGGCGCTTCTTGCCTCAGCTCGGATGAAGGTGCCTCTCTTCACCAGGTGGTAGGCGGCTCTTGTGAAGCGAAGGGGAAAAGCTCTAGAGGCTCGAAGTTGGTATCATTCTTCAGTCTTCTGGAGTCTTCTTAGAGTCCTCTTAGAGTCTTCTTAGAGTCTTCTTAAAGTCTTCTTGTTCCTTTTGCTTCTCTTTTGTGTTTTTTGGACACCCCCTCCGTTTGGTGCAGGGCCCTTCTACTGTCTAAACTCCTCAGTCGCCCCGCTGAGATACCTATATTCAGGAAACGATGTAAGCCTTATGCGTTAAAACAGCCAGCGCCCGGAATGCTGGCTGAAGCTCTCCCAACGACTGGTGCGCCGGGAGGCCCTCTGTGCGGAAGTGATTCATCTTCGCCTTGAGCTCCTGCAGATGTCCATGGATTTCAGGAGGCTTTAGGGCTTTAGGGGTTTCGGGTTGAGCGGTTGAGCCTCTGCTTCACAATCCCTGTGAGGGCCACACTGTCCGCGCATCTGAATATCTGACCTGGAAGTGCTTCGCGATGTGATCCTTCTCTGTTCGTAGCTGCTGGTTCCGCTCCTGACGAGCCATTTCCCATCGCTTGCTTCCGGGCTGTCGAGATTGGGGTTGGACCCCTGCACATCGAACGCTGGAAGATGTCGACTGCGCCTCACACTCCTGGCGGTTCTGTGCAATCTTCTGCTTCCAGTGCTGGATAGCAGCCTCGTGTAGCAGGGCTAAGATGTTTGGTTCTGTTGCGCGGCAGTTCGGACCACTGCACTGCATTTCCTATGGCTTATGGCATGGGCAGGCGTGGCTGTAAGAGCGGGCGGAGCCCGGTGCATGAGTGCTGTTGCAGGCACATGCAAAGCTGCACAGCCCGACAGCCTGCATGCGCTCCACCTGCCGCAGCCGACGTTCCACCTGCGCAGCTGCAGAACACGCTCACTGCCATGGCTTCATGTCGATCAGGCCAACCCTACGGAAATGTACAAGCACCATTGCCTGGTCGCTGAGCGTGGCATCACGACGAAGATAGTCCTGCGACAGAGGCAGGTTTTTGTTTCTAAGGTTCGGCCGCAGTCCCCTTCTTTCCCTTGTCCCTAGCAAACCCTGCAAGACTTTCTTCTCCCGGCAGTTGATGCAAGTCGCAGAGCGCACTTTTTTCTACGCAACTTCGAGCTCTGCAGGGGCACAGGCAGCGGAGGCTGCGGTGGTCTTGTCACACTTGGCATGCCACGCCCGGAGTTCTGCCACTCGCCTCTCCAGTGGCAACACATCGGAGCCTTAGCAAACAAAGGAAAACAGGAGGGGGCTTCTTGTCATGGGCCACGTATGGCAAGGCATTGAACCCTCTCCAAACCCCACTGCACTCAGCCACGGAACTCCACGGTGCACCGAGGCGCTCCATCCTCAGCAGGGTTGCAACTCTCATGGAGAGCTAGCACAAGCTAGCTCATCGGCGCTTGAAAAACAACAAGAAGCATCCGACCCCAAGAAACAAGGCAGCAGAAAAAGCAGCGAGCTATTGCGAGTGAGGCTCAGCTCCAACAGATGGAGCAGCTCGGGCAGGCTGTGTCCTGCCGAGGCTCCCATACAGTCAGTCTGAGCACGTCATGTCACAGCTAAAGATATCCTACAACATTATGTGACCATACGTCTTTTGGGATATATGAAATCATACTGTGCTGTGATAGTCCAATGGAACGTGAGTGCTTTATACTCCAATACGAAATATGAACACAAAATAAACATATTTCTAGACGTAAGGATAAACACAAACACACATAGACAAAATGTGAATATGAATTTCGACCAAAAATAATGTGAATGCAAACCTCAGTATGTGAATCTGCATATACGCTTTTTTTCTATATATATATATATATATATATATGTATATATGTATATATATATATAGGTATATGTATATGTAAGTACGTATGTATGTGCAAATGTATGTGCATATGCATGCATATGTGTATGTGTATGTGTATGTGCATGTGTAAGTGCATGCGTGTGTGCATGTGTAAGGGCATGTGTGTGTGTGTTTAACTATACGTATGTACATGTTTGTAAACATAGTTACGCTTATTCTTTATGTTTATACTTGCTATTGGTATTTTGTTGAGTTAGGTGTTTCTTGATACTTGTTTCTAGATGTATACCAACCCATCTTAATATGTACATCAATCATTTTTCACATCTGCTGGCATGGAGATCGGCGATGTCAAGTCCTTTCAATCGCCCAGTGAGAGCGAATCGCAACGGCTGAAGAAGCTTCTTGCCCTCAGGGTCACAAAGGCACGAGAACCCACATGAAAGGCCATGGAACTACGGCATGCACCCTGAACCCTAAACCCAGCTTCGGGTGCCCCCGTCGACCTTCAGCCCGGTCGCATTGGAAAGGTCGCTCATCAGCTCCTGAGGGGCAGAAGGGTGCTGGGAGGGTTTTCAGGCCTTGAAGGGCTTTGAGGGACACCAACAAGAACTTATCTCACAAAACTGACTCTTAAACCTCCTCCCCCCCCCCCTTGCCCCACGAGATCTTTTGAGCCTTGTCCTCATCTGAACTCTGCACCATCTATCTAAGCTCATGAACCTGACCATATAAACCTTAAACATGTCTTAATCTCAAGCCGGCACCTCCCAGGAATCGCTTCGGAGGCCACCGCGGTCGAAGGCCGAAATCACCTCGGCGACCACGCCGGGCAGTTCACCTCGGCACACAAGTACTATCATTAATACTATGAATAGAATAATAATAATAATAATAATATAATATGAATAATAATTAATATTAATAATAATTATGAGGGCGTTTCGGAGTTTCGCAAACTCCAAACTCCACCCCGATGCCTAGAGAAGGCCCCCCAATCATGGAGGGAAGAATTTTGAGCTGCACATGCTGGACAACATACTTTTTGCCAGAGCAGTTACCAGAAATCTTGGCCTCCGCTTGGGCAGCGTCCGAGAAGCTGAAGGTTAGCTCGGTATGCAAGTGTCGCAGCGCATCTCGCAGGTTGCAAGCACCAGCTGATGCAACTCGCGTCGCCAGCTGGAGCAGGTCCTCCTCATCTGCGAAACCATGCAGCACCAGCAACGGCTGCAACCGTTCCTTTAAGACCTCTGGGGCAAGAGGTTCATCCAGCTCAGCACGTGCTCGCGCGTCCCAGGTGCCCAGCTGCGCTGCAAAGAAAGTCGTCAGGTTGCCGTGCTCATTGCGTCGAATGCATATCCGGTACCTTTGAGCCAGGGCTCTGGCAGACTCGCAAAGCCCAGACAAGGACAAGAAAGTAAAACAAAATCGCAATCATTAAAAGGCCGTCAGCCACGGCTGCAGTATGCTGCATTCGAGGCACACGTGATCACCGAGTCTCGCAGCCCGCATGTACCCAACATCGCGTGACATGAAGTCGCGGCTCCACTGGCGCCTGACAGCACGTTCCGGCGTCAGAGTCTCAAAGAAGGCGGTGGTGGCTATGGCCAGCTGCCACTCAGGTGACACACCAACGAAGAAGCCGCCAACATCCTTGATCAGGAGCTTCCCCTCGAGGTCCCAAGTAAAGCGGCCGCTGACAAAGTAGGGGTTCAATGCTCCCTCAGAAGTGGTGGTCCTTCCCTTGTAGCGTGCACCCAGGTACTGCGCAGCACCTCGCTGCTCCTCCAGGTAGAACTTCACCCAGTTGTGCAGTCCCCCAACCACTCCTCTTCCTTGCAAGTCCTCAGTGGCCTCGCCCACGAAGACATGCTCAAAGCCACACTTTGGGCTGGTTGGATGCCGCTGGAACCAAATGTGCCACATGTGTCTGCGCCAAGCTTCGTCCGTTAACTCCTCAAACTTCGAGGCCTCTGCACGAGCTCGGCGCATGACGGGCGTGCGGTCGACCACATCCAGAAGCTTCTCAATCTTCTTGCGCTCTTCTGGTCTGTACTCCCCTATCTCCCCACGTCGCTGGTGGAAGACTTCGAAGACATCCAGCAGCGCAAGGAATGTGGATCTGGTGAAGACGTACGGCTGCACCTGCGCAAAAAGTGGGGCCTCGTCGCCCTCGCGACGCGGCCGCTCGTCCACCAAGATGTCCTTGGAGGCCAGCAATCGAGCAACCCCGTCGCCATCTTGCTGCAACGCATCCGCCATCTTGGCTGATCGAACATTCTCAACAGTTGCCCTTCCTTCATCCAGGAGCCAAAGCTCGGAGTAGATACCGCCACCACCATGGGCGCAACGTGCGGCCCTTGCCAGCGCAGAGTCCACCAGGAACTCGGCCACGACATCGACATCGGCATTTCCTGAACGGATTTCCTCTGCTGCACGAACAACCAGCTCCTCCCTTGCTTTGGCAGCAGCTCGACCAACAGCTGCGAAATCTCCGCCTCTGACTCAGACGGATTCCGCACTAATCGGATAGTCACACACGAAAACTGTTTGGATTGAGGAGCTTTGTGAACTAATGTGAAGCTTTGTGAGTTAATGCAAATCGTGAAAACCTGAGGTCGCAACTAGAAGAGAACTCCTTGACGCCGGCTTCTGCGGCGCCCCGTATCAGGTCGTAAGCAGCACGGGCTTTGACGTCGAGCCCTTCCGGGCCCCGGGCAGCCGCTTGCACAAGTGCATGCCCCAGCGACTCGTCGGAGGCGTCAAACGGCCTGCGCTGTCCTAGATGGCGCCGCAGGTAGCGGCGCAAGCGCCGCCCTATCCTTGCCAGCGCAAAGGCGCTCAGTCCCAGGGACAAGCCCGCGGCGAAGGGGGGCACGGCAGCTTGCGCAATGTGGTCAGGCCACACAACGGCTCTTTTGCCGACTACGTGGCTAGCTCCGCAGAACTGCCGCTGTCCGTGCACCAACTTCCTGAAGCTGCCGTGAGGCAAATCACAGCCGACATGCAGCTGCATGCTTCAATGTGCAATTGAGCTTGCTCCTAGTTTGTTGCCTGGCTCTCATTGTGCTGTACCCTGACAGAGTCGCCTAGGTCTGACGGGGTAGCTGGGTGTTGTCTGGCAGTTGACGAGTCTTCAGTTCCCCGTTTTAATAGGCGCATGCTGCCGATGTCTTGTTTCACCCACAGCTCTTGCGTGCAATCTGGCTCATTCAGCATAAGGCAGAGACAGCTGCAGGATAGCAGGTGCACGGGACATGTGCTACTGTACTACTATGAGACGACGGAGTGAACATCTGCCACACATCCAGACGATGCCGTGAACATTGCAGAGGATAGCTCGTCTGTTTTGCTGTGCTATGATCAGTCAGATCAATGCCCCTACTCAGACGCGCTGTCGAATACATGCAGTTTTCGCAGGAATGTCGTTTCTAGTTTCGGATGGCCATGTGAATCTTCACCACAGCTTCGATTGGGCTCCAGTGGCTTCCTGCATTCTGATATGAAAGCTTGCCAGATTCTGGTTCCCCGGCGTAGCTCAAAAGTATTTCAGCAGCTTGATCCCGAGCAGAGAAGTCCGAAAGTGAGCAACAGAGCTGAAGAGCCCACCTAGCGGCTTAGCCGTTGCGCTTGTATGCCTTGGTGTTCTGCAGTGCTGCGGCATGCCGGTGGCCTTGTCTGGTTCAACGTGCCTGGAGAGTAGGTTTATAGGCCCTAGGCTCAATGCCTTGCCAATCTTGCCTCGAAGAATAGGAGGCAAAATGAAGCAACTCGGGCATGCCAGGTCCTTGTACTCCGTCGTGCTGTTTTCAGTCGACCTTTCGTAGGTCAGCAGCTTGTCCTTACACCTGGAAAGCCAGGTCTCCGCGGGTCCCAGTAGGCACGCTTCTGAAAGATGTTCCCACAAAAAGCTGCCAGCAAATACAAGAGCCCCTCAGAACAGAACATCAGCCACACACAACAGAAAGAAGATATAGGCAACCCTTACGCCCACAAACCCAGCAGCATGTCGTTGCACAAGCCTACTAACCCGCAGACCCCGACGCTCCCAGAGAGCCCAACAGCCCTTACAAAAGGGAATTTGCCTTACTTCACAATGAGAACCCCTATATGACCTGACCCTACAAAGCCTAAGGATGTTTAAGGAGTGTTGCACAATGAAAGGGTTCTCGGCTTCGTGGACAAAACTTCGACACCAGACCAAACGACCCAACTGCCCCGTGGCCTGGCGCGAGTCTCTTCGATCTGCTCCTCAAGGCCAGAGCGCATCTGGTGGTCCTCCTCGATGTTCTTGTTGCCTGCGTTTGAGGTCTTAGGGGGTTCGGGCTACACTTTGAGGGCTTTCATGTTTAGGGCTTAGGGAAGTTTAGGGATCCCGTTGCTCTTAGCTCAGCCACTCCGGACCTTGTTGGGAATTTCCCTGTGGACGCTCTTAAAGGCAGTTTTCGGCTGAGCTTCACTATGGACACTTGAGCATGCCGCACCGCATGCAATTTACAAGACACGCTTTCCAACTTGCAGGTACACCGACGAAAGTCGGCCATTCACATGCCATGGATGATATGCTTTCGGAAAGATGGGGATGTTTCCTTGTAGGGACCTTTTGGAAAAGCACCAGCTTTGAACAATACCCATGTGAGAAGAAGGACGCAGAAATTGTGCAGGACAAGTATCATGACCACAGCTAAGACACTTACGTACGCAGGTGTGACGCACACTAGGTTTTGGACAGGAATGACGGCTGGAAGCCGACAGCAGAGTACGCGCTTAGTGCGTAGAGATCTGACTTTGGCATTTGCCAGATTTTTGCCGAGGCGCGGATGAGCTCAAACTGGGACTGGTGGTCAGTGATGTCTGCCTCAGATTCAGGAGGCTGGGCCCGGGAGCGAATACGCCGACTTGAACATTCTTTGGAGGACCAGTCTCCGTTGGTCTTGAGACGATCTTGCACAGAGCTGGAAGGCACACAAGAAAGCAAGCAAAGGTCCACACCATTTCTCGATTCTTCTCTTCACGCCTGACAGCTTGTAGTTCAGAGTGGGCCCGGAGGGTGTTTACACTGCAAGGCAATTCCATTAAACTTCCACTCATTCCACAATCGGTCACGGCTTGGATTCAGTCAAGTGGCTCCACTTGCTCTACGATCAGCGCAAGTTCTCGCTTCTCTAGAGCATGCCGTTCCTGCCATGACAAGGCGGAACAAAAATGAGGCAGCAGCTGCCCAGCTTTCCAAGCACAGCAGGTGGATTTGAAACTGACCAACTTATATACTCCGACCTGGATGTGCTCTCGTTCAATTCGGAACTCCTGCAGGGACAATGACGTCCCTAAGCAGGATGACTCCAAAGCGACATCTCTTGGGCACATGAGGAAAAGGGGTGGGGGTCACCGTCGGCCCCTGTCGCCTCAGACATGCTTGATGCAGGCCAATTCACTGAAACGATCTGAAATCTAAAACGTCTTCAGCAAAGCAATCAAGCCTTCACTCACATTGCGAGTTTCTAGCTGCAGACTCACACCTCGCTCCTCAAGACTAGCCGGGTCTACAACAGACGTTGCTTCGATCGCAGTACTGGGTCCTCCTGGAGCGTGGCAACGTCGCGCTTGAACTCTTCGTCCAAGGCAAGGAGCCTGACACTCGTAAGATCTCTCGTAAGCAAAGAGCCTCTCGAAACCTCTCACACTTCTTTCCGCCACACACTGCCCCGACAGGCCCGGCAGAGCATCATCGCCTGCTCTGCTGTATCTCCAGGAGGCGATCCACGTTGAGGAGGTGGCTTCTCACAGCCACCTGGTGTTGCTCCTGCACAGCGAGATGCTCAGGAATGTTTGATGGGAGCTGCACTGTCGAATGCAGGAACCGTTCTCTCATCTAGACGACACGAGACACGAGATGCGAAGATTGCGCGACACGAACACCAAAACTGACCCGCGAGACAACAGACTCAAGAGACAGCAGGCAGGAGCCGTGCGCCTTGGAGGTATCCGAGATTCTTCCAGAAAAATCCGCCCTCCCCGCAGCAGCAAAAAGTAAAATCTGGAGGTAGGGGTCCTTTTTGGATGCGTCATGGGGGATCGCTTTGCACGCACGAGCTCGTGTCCTCGGGTTGGAGAGGGAAGCCTCCTTCTCCAAGCGGTGGCACATCCGCGGGTCCGGACATGGACAACGTCCACGTCCAAGAAGCTTATAGGAGTGCTTTTAAGCCATTTCCTGATTTTTGCACCTCCTATCCCGCTTGCTTAAAGTGCACCTTCTTGCCGTAAGCCAGTAAGCTTCACTCCACCACACGGAGCTGAACGCTGCGTCCTCCGCCTCATCCAGGTCTCGATCCAACATCTGGAGGATGGCATCTTTGCCTCACAAACCAGGCAGCAATTAAGTTTGCAGCAGTAGCGCAGCGTGCTCTGACTAGATACCAGGAACCAGATCCAACAAGGCTTGCACGATCGACATCACGCTCGTGGTTCTGGGAGATGATCTCAACCTTCACAGGTCTCTGAAGTCTTTCTCATATGCGACTCTAGCTACTACCGCCTACTCACTGCGCTCCTGCTTCTTCAGCTGCTTGGTTTTCGCTGAACGCATGATCTTTAGCCAGCTTTCCTGAATCCTCGGCATAATCGTGTGCTTCAGCAGCCACCATGACCCAAACACAAGCAACGGTCCCTCATGCTGTCTGAGATGTTCGCCGGCTCATGTTGTACTTTGTATTTCTGACCTGCATCACGTGGCACCAGGACAGCCTGCTTGCTGACTCTTATACATCTGGCCTCAACCTTCCTTGGGAAGCCCCTGCTCTGAGGACAAACTCGCCTCTAGCTGCGTGTCCTTCTGCAGCTTGTGCCGCTGCTGCATGAGCATGAACTGCTCCTGCAGGAACCAAGCCCCTCTCTGCGCTGTGGTCAAACTGTCAGAGGAGAAAGTGGAGAAATCTTCCGACCGTGGCTACAGTAGCAAAGCCTGATCAAGCTACTCCCGGCCCGTCGCACAAAAGATCGATCGACAAACGATAGGTTCATGGTAAATACTGCACAAACACGATGACAGGATCATTGGGTCTTGGAACGTCTTGTCTCCGAAGCTTGAGTCTTTTAGCCTTCTCGCCTCAGGCCTCCTCTTCCTCGATGCTCTGAAACTTTTTTTGGGCTTCTTTAAGTCTCTCAGCATGCTGAGAACAGCTGCACTCGTGATGACTGCATGCCCGTGCTATCGTAGGCAGCCAGGAGCCGCAGCATTTGCCTTGTCGTATTCTTCCATCTCCTTCGCCCGCGTCGCATTTCCTGCGTTGGCGAACTATGGAGCATACCACCAGACAACTTGGGAAGACAATCGCACCTCCTATATCTAGAGCCTGGATGCACTAGACTCATGGAATGTTGCAAACTACACTTGGCGAAACTCGACCCCAGGGCGCAGAGACCAGTCATTTGCGCTTCAATCCCGCTCCTGGCTTGGGCGGCATGGCGGCGGACCTGGCGAAAAGATCTCTGCCGTCGCAGATGCTCTAGTGGCTTTCCGTTGCTTCCATCCAGACTCATATCATGGAAGGGTGCACCAGCGACCAGCGGGTACCGCCTACTATGTGCTTGCACCTAATCATCCCAATCCTGCATCTTGCACCGAAGGCAACACTACGGCACCTCTGGCCAGCGCGCGGCCTCCCCGTCTCAAAGGACGTGGCTTGAGCTGAATGCCAAAGGAGTTCAACGGGTTTCCCGAACCAACCACCTCCCCACAACAGCAATTCTGGCACAAGCACCACATATTCGAGGCCGTCCCAGACACTCCGGCACACAAATCATCTTCCCAAGCCCTCTCTATTCCTTTCTGTCCCTCACAGAGAACTGAAAAAAAGAAGTCAGCAGAAGCGGCAGTGCATGTTGCCGTTTTTGGGATCTGCAGGCAGGAAGCTGTGACTGGACCATGGCCCCTCACTTCTCAGAGGCCTAGCCAGTCCTCACAGCTCAGATCTGCCAAGAGGAGGGAAGGCGCCAGAAACCCAGAACTGTTACTGGTAGCCCTCCAAATATAGTCTAGATCACCGGAAGCCCACGCAAACTGAACACAAGCCATGTGAATTCCAGGATTTGCTCGAGGCTCCTCACCAAAGCGGCCAGGAGAAGCAAAGGAGAATGCATGCGATTGCAGCGGCCAGGACTCGGCGTGCAACCTTCCGCACCATGTCGAAGCTCCCACTGGACACAAGAAGCAAGACTAAGAGCACGGCCAGAGAATCCTACCGCAAGTGTGGCATCGTCAAACTGAAATAACGGGCACACTTCCGCCACGCCTACCGACAACCCCACTGAAACCGCGCCTCATCTGCAATACCAGCATCGATGGCATTGAGACGTGGCCACGGATTAGCCCGTCCCCAAAGGCAATGAAAAAGTCGGCAGCTGCCGCGAGGGCCATCTCGACCTGCCCATCATCCACTTTGAACTTTGAACTGTGCAGAAGAGCAGAAGAGCGTATTTCAGGAAAGGGATTCCAAGATTCGGAGGATCAGAGGTATGCTTGCAAAAAGTCGCAGGAGCCAAGCGCTGTACCAAAGAAAAGGGTTCGTAAGATTCATAAGGCAGACTCTTGAAGGCCAGGTAGCTGATGTTCCCTCTTAGACTCGTAAACCCATTTCAGGAACCCCTCTCTCATGTCCCAAGAAGGCACCTTTGGTCCCCTAAGCCCTGAACCCTGGGAAGCCCAAGCAGTCCCCAAACCCGTTAACCCGCACACCCTCACATCAACTCGTGGGGCGCTTACGCAGAGCTGCCGCAGGCTGTTCTCGTCCCCCAAAAGGGGCGGCGCCAACATCAGCCTCCGAGTTTAAGGGTTTAGGGTTTAGGGTTTCGGATGGTTTAGGACATGCCAAGAGCTGCAGGAGAACAGACGAGAACAGACAAAAGCAACTCAAACAGGGTCCCGGCTCAGCTGTGCCCGCAAGTTCGCGGGCTAGGTCTTTGACAGCCTTCGTAACACAATGGACATCAAAAAAACCACAAACGATCGAGCATGTCCTTCGTGATACATGTCCACAGATACATCTCAAAACTTACAACCTGTATGCTACGCAAGATGCTGCCAGCCCATACAGTCAGCTTTTGTAGCTCCAGCATTGAGGGACAACATGCTCCAATTGAAGCTAGCTGAGGTCTGCTACAAAAACCCTGCAAACGGCACCTTGCTGTTTGCTGGAGCATTCGTCATGAGGAAAAGCCTTTGCAAAGCATGCAAAGCGCTGTCAACGCCCCTGGTCAGCCCTCTCCTCAAGACACAGCCTTGTGAGGCCACGCCGGTGTAGGTGCTCCCGCAGTATCGATGCAAACTTTGGCACCTCTGCGAGCGCAGCCTCGGACACCAATCCCCAGACTGGCGTGATGGCCGATCCGAGCGTGAGAGCTTGTAGCAGCTTGTGGGCAGCGTGCAAGCAGCGTTACCTGCTGCATTCACCTCATCTAACTGATCTTTCGACAATGAAGCCTCAAGGCAACCATGATGTTTCTGCCTGGCCTGCTCAAGCTTCCGCGGGTGAGGCCCGAGGAACCAGTCACCCTGCACAGGATACATCTCCGACGTGTCACACCAGCAACCCCCATCCGTCCGCAGAGCAGCTCGCGAGGAGCATCGCGATCTCTCAAACTTCAGACTCGGACCTTCCGCCAGTGGGCCGCCATGTATGGAAGTCGTCCCGAGAAAGACCCGAGAGACCTTCCAAGTGGTGAAATTCCTTTGAAGGATCTGCTGAAGTGAGACATGACCCAACGAGAGGAACAAGTCCTGCCTTCCAGCACGGAGCTTCAGCTTCCGAGCCACCTCTCCGGCCCTCCTTACTCATAATTCTCTCTAATGTGCCGACATTGCTTGCAAACATTGCTGTGCACATCTGTGCACTATATTCACTATAATATCCGGTATGACTGAAGACGGTGTGCCAGCAAGTGCGACTGTGTTTAGACAACGCTGCTTCCAAGATGCTGAAAAACCCACTGGGAGAAGCGAAGTCCACGCCAAATCCTTTGACTTTGCATGTGCTTCGATCTAACAAACTGCTGCCTCAACGTGCGCCAAGGCAGCTGCGATGTGTAGTAAGAGTGCACTGACATGTAGCCATGCCGACCAGGATGAAGGCGTGCGCGCTCCGCACCCTACGAAAAGAAGCATGCTACGTGACGATTCGTTCGTAGCCACGTCACTGCTTCACTTCTTGTGGGCCTGCCTCGATCCAGTAAAAGTAGAGCCCAACCTGAGGACGCCGGCGACCAGAAGCACCAACTCTGTCACGTTCCGCGCATTCCTAGAAACCTTCAAGTTACAACAGAGACCGCTTACCAGACAAAGCCCTGACCCAGCGCCACAACTTCAGCCAGTCGAGCCCGGCCCCGCATGATGTCATGCGCCACATTGTGCGCAACACAACCCAACACGCCCCTGTCGCGCGACTCCGCGACAAACTAAGTCAAGAAACGATGCTCTGGCTGTCAAGAAACAGAAGCCCAGGTTTTGCCAGATGACTTTGCCTTTGCGACAGCAGTCTGCACCTCGAGATACAGCTCCATGCTTTTCACAGTCTCAAATCCCGGCTTGGGCCTCATGAAATATACGAACTGACCAAGACGAATGAGCTTGCAAACTTCTGCGACTCTTAATCAGCAACCATACCTCAAGCGGGCCACACCTTGCTAATCGGGCCTTGCTACTAAAGCATGCATGCGCAATCGCGCGTACGTATGCAGTGTCTGCATCCAATGCTTGCCCGAGCACCGTTTCTGCAAACCGGTCGTCATCCAGCAAGCGAAGCTCAAAGCCTGTAGAGGCTGTAGAAACAGGAGTCGCTCGTAACTGGCTTGTGTCTTTCAATTATATTCGGTCTGCTGCATAAACAACTCCAAGTGCCAGAGAAGTTGCAGTCACTGTACTGGACAACTGAAAACTGAGGAGGAAACCACTGGTGTGCTTCGTGTCTCGCACGCAAACCTTAGACTTCACCAATCTTACGAACCATGGAACAGCCTTCCCCTTGAGTGGTGGTATGCTGTCCTGTCATGCTGATGCCGCAACGCCATACTTCTCCCGGACATACGTAGAGTTGTCGGAACGTTACGCCGCAAACACTGCTGCTTCAGCCACGCGTCGCGGCGCTGAATGTTCAAGTCGGACTGGTAGAAACCTTTGCCGCAGTCACAGCATGCGTTTGCAGTGCAGGGACGGTATCCACCATGCCTTTCTGAGACAGCGAGGGTGAGGTTTGAAGCCAGGTTCATTACAGGCTAGGATGTCGACGAGGCACGCAACTGCATTGGCTGGTCCGAATCGCCACAATGCCTCGGCATCGTTTGAAAGTCAGGCAAGCACATGCCTTCGCAGCTGAGAAAAGAGCCGATATGCGATGATATGCGGATTTCTTTAGACACCCTCATCTTTGAGCCCCATTGAACGAAAATCTTAAAACATGTAGTTTTTTTCCGTTCCACAACCCACTGCCCATATAACAAACACAGCGGAGGCAGTTTGCAGCTCGAGGCCGTGGCAGCTTTTGGCCTTCGTTGGGGTGGTCGGCTTGCATGGCCAGCACGTCCAGAGTGCTTCCTTTGGACAAAACAATTCACAAAAGCACTCTCGCCCCATCTACGACCGCGACGCGTGTCCGCCTGTCCGCTGCAGGAACTCTTCCCAGGAAATCTGGCCCCGAATGCCGCGGACCTGTCCGAAAAACTCCAAAAACAATTTGAAAAGGATGAAAAAGGCCACACATGGCCACACTAGGCCGCTTGGGAGATCCCGCAACTTACAACACACACTGTCCAGCTTGTTGGATGTGGCACGATGTGGTAGTGTCACCCTGTCACCCCCGCTCAGGCGACTTGGAAAACCGGCCTCCCGCAGCCAGGAGCTGAGTGCTGGCCAGTCAAAGAGCACGCCAAAGGGTGTGACGCTGCCGTGGCGGAGGCCACAAGCCGTTTTCTGCCATGGTGCGCAGAGGCAGCTGCCCGCATCACAGAAAGTTTCAGTCATGTCGTCGTTCACCTCTATGGGATCATATGATGGACTCTAGGCTCTCTAGGTTCGATTTAAGCGTGGAAGCTCGTCCGAATTCCAGTTGGAGTAGATGGACCATTTGCGTCCTTCTGCAGCTGCTTTGGCCTTAAGGCAATCTCGTTATATCGCGCTCAGTACGGAATCCACCAAATAGAGAAGCAGACAACAGATGTCCTGCGCTGTCGCTTCTACTGCAAACCCGCAAAACAATGCAAACAAAAGCAAGCGCTGAAGAAGCGGCGTGCAGCTCGGCCGCTTCCAGCTCTCCATAGCGCTGCCTGCATCACGAAAAAGTGTGATAAGAGCAGCACATCAACCCACGCAATACGCAAAGGATTGAAGCAACATGAAGTAAAGGAAATCCATTTCGTGTAGTTGCAACATGCTGCAGGATAAGCTTACACACCCCGGAAGCCAAAGAAACGGGCACAAGCATACCCTCCACAATTGTCTGCGGGTTGGGGGAGTTTTTGGCTGGGTGGGATTCAGCTAAGTTGAGGTTTAGAGGGTGAGGACTTAGTGTATGGCCTTTGCAGCTCGGCTGGCAAACTCTAGTCCGACTCACGCTGGCTTGAATGGAAAAATGTGCAGCTGTCTGCATCAGAGTTGCCAGACTGCATTGCAGATGAAAGGCTCGACAAGTACAACCTCGCACGCAAAGTTCCACTCTCGCTGCGCAGAGGCTTTGAAGAGCTCTCTCTAACGTAGGCAACAACAGGGCAAGCAAACACACCCTGCTTCATGCGAACAGCCTGGCAAGGTAAAAGACCATTTTGCTTACTTCGACCTGCTTCACTGGACAAACTCGAAACCTTCTAAACTTCTCAACACATTTCAGCCGCTCTCAACCCGATGCGAAACTTCGAATCTGCAAATGTAATTGCTTTACGTGGTCAATTTCCCCAAAAAGTCAGAGGCCAGCAGCCGCTGGCTGCACTTGACTCCCGTGGGTTTGTATTTGCCACCAGTTAGTCTGAGGCTCTCCTCGACCAAGGAGAGCAAGGTCTCGGGCAGGTCTGACCAGTGAACGTACGCGACTGGACAAGCACTGCTGGAATATTTCTGTTTTAGGGACAGGCTGTTCGCGCCTAGCCTTGTATGATCCTGAAGCCTTGCTCACATGCCTTGCCCCGGATGCAGTTGAGCCATCCTGCCGCCGGCTCGCTGCGGCTTGGAAGACCTGCTGTGGCGGGAGCTTGTCCACCAAGGCCTTGAGGTGCCAACACAAGTCCGACTTCTGAAGCTCTGCTGGGTCTGGCACGCGCATCTCCTTCATGTGCTCGAGGTAGCGCTGCCAGCCTTCCTTTCTCGTAGCCTTGAGCGGCCGTGTCCACGGCCGACAGGAGCTCCAAGCACCGTGACGCCTCGGCGAGGACGCTCACCTCGTCCGGCTCCACAACCTTCCATCGCCCAGCTCAGAGTGCAGATCTCCGGGATGCCTGGTATTCATGTACGCGTGTAGGGAGGATTCAACATCCCACGCCCGCTCTTCGGTGTTGGTGAGAACACAGCACTCTAGGGTCTAGGGTGACCTCTGCGTTCTCTGGCAGCCCCTTGAGGTAGGTTTCCAAACGGCTGAGACATTGGAAGTCGCGCTTGCGTGGGTCTTTGTCAGTCCCAATCCGATGACGTTTGGCCTATCTTGAACCCAGTCATGCTGTGCAGGGCGACCTTGAAACAGTGCACCAGGCCACCTTTTGGTTGAGATGCCGAGGGCGACAACGAGTCGAGCGTGTCCAGCCTGCAACCCGGTACTCTGGAACGCAGAGGCACCATGGCAGCCCTAAGCCGAGAATGGTTGAGAGCTGGGCTCAAACTCTCGACTCGTTGCCGCCCTCGGCATATCAACTGCCGAGGGCTCAAAAGGTGGCCTGGTGCACTGTTTCAAGGTCGCCCTGCACGGCATGGCTGGGTTCAAGATAGGCCAAAAGTCAGTGGATTGGGGCCCCGTCACTGACAAAGACCCACGGAAGCGCGACTTCCAATGTCTCAGCCGTTTGGAAACCTACCTCAAGGGGCTGCCAGAGAACGCAGAGGTCACCCTAGACCCTAGAGTGCTGTGTTCTCTGGCATCTTGCGTGGCCTCGCCCGCCTCGCGCGGCACCGTATCCTCGGATCTCGTAGCCCTGGCCTTTCACTACAACCTATTTCTCGAAACAGGCTGTAGCAGTACACGCCCTTGGGCAGCAGACCTACCTCGTCTTATGTGAGAGAGTGCTGGCCATGACTGCAGGTGCCTGCCAAGCTGACCTTTTACTACAAACTATTTCCCGAAACAGGCTGTAGAAGTACGGTCCCCCCGCCCTGCAATCGAACATAGCATGGTTGTATGTAAGAAAATGTAGGGATACCACTACAGGTTCCTGCCAAGTTGGCTGCACGGTACCGGCGGTTTCTGTCGGACAAGGCCCTTCATGAAACAGGCAAACTCCTGCAATCCAAACAAAGTTCCATGATCCAAGCCTATCAATCCATCAGGACAAGACCTTTCAGTAATGCTGTGCTTCCTCTTTCTTGGCGAGCATCCCTTTCAAGAGCTGCCACTCTGCTGTTCTGAGCTCCAGCGCCTGAGGTCCCTGAAACGATGCAAGCTGCAAGGCCTCGGCAATGGCACAACGGCGCAACCAGCAGATGACGACACAAAGCGCAAGGGAGCCCAAGCTAACCTTGACACGCCTTGGCATGCCTTGAGTCCCATCATGTGTAACTTCCCCATACTTCCGCAATCCGGCATGTCTGGCATGCACCGTCAGCCTCCAAGGTATCCATGAAAGTGTTGCTGAACAGCTCGCGGCACGGGCCTGCGGGCTTGGCGCGAAGGGCTCCGCTCGTTATGGGTCTCTTGGGGCGCTTCGGTGCCCTGAGCGGCCAAGTCTCTGGCCCAAGACGTCCAGCACCGTGATGTACAGGGTGAATTCAGCAGATGCTGGCGGACGCACCTGCGGCGGCCACTCTTTCCAAACTATGGGGAGTGATAACATATGAAATGGTGCTGTATGGGGCTGCACATCAGACATCCTGCTAAGAAAGGGATCAATAGAAACGAAGACGCCAGCACCGACAGGCATCACGCAAGCGGCAGCCATGATTTTCACCAATGCACGGGGATATCCCCGTGACGCCTCTGAATCTCCACACAGGTGCGAACGAAATCTCGGCAGATCTACTTCCTTCACCCTGCCGATACCACAAAATGAAGGCTTGGACTGCATGCTTACGCCGGAAGGCAAAGCGAATGACTGTGAGACAGTTCCAAATCATCCACCTGAGAGACAAGGCTTCCATACTGCCATCGACGTGCCGACCTTCAGTCCTGTGGTCACGACCTGAAGCCTGGAGATGTAACCATGCGCTTAAGCCCAGGGTCAGGCGCAACCTTCGAAGGGGTTGTACACGCAGCATTCAAGGTGAGGTCATGTTCGGAGCACAGCTGCCCAAAGGGTAGGTGAACTTGGCCGGGTTGCTTGCATGGGAAGCCAGACAGGTGCAGCCTGTTACAGTGCTGAATTGTTGCACCATACGCTTTTGAAGAGTTTTTGATAAGAAGTGGTAATCCTGACATGCGGTTGCCATACGTCGCCATACAGAATCATACAGCAAGAGTCCGCATTCGTGAACTGGGACCCTTCCTCGGTACCCTTGCTGCGCTCAGTAGAAATACCGGGCGTACCATGAGCTGGCAATGGCAATTGCGAACGGGAGCATGAAGGGCGCCCTGGACGAAACCAGTTTCACCAGAAGATTGAAACAGGTCAAGCCCTGCAATGCGTCTCTGCGATGCAGGCTTCACAAGCAGAGGTGTCTGACCCATCACCCGAACCTTCCCTACAAGTAGCACCAGAGCTCAGACACTTCGCAAAGTGCGTAAAAGATTCTGGCTGAAAAGCTCTTTGGAGCACCAGGTGTAGCTCACTTGCTTCTCATCGAGGCAGCTTGAGAAATTCTGGAGAGCATTGCGAAGTGGCTCGGCGTCGGAGTACAAGAATATGTCCCCCCTCCACAACATGCAAAGGACCACGACATCTCCCCAGAGCACTGCGCAAGCCTTCAAATCATCTTTGTGTCGTCAAGGACACGCAACTCGACTTGAGGGCCGTACTGCTTCATGCTTACAACATGGCCACTCTGTGCCACTCGTACACTCCGTACCCATGCGCAGCGAGCCAAGTGCATCTTCTACGTGTCTGTGTGCTTACACACCAGGCATGGCTTTCTGACTCTAAACACTCCCTGCAGCTGGAAGCTTCGCGCTTACCGAGGTCACGAGGTCATTGTGCTGAACTAAATGCACATCAACATCCTAGCCAGCACCATCAATCAAGCTGATAGAAACCACGAGCCCAAGCCAAAACACGATCGACACAGCAGAGCGAAGCAGGCCACAAATCGTTTTGGCCGAAGTAGCCAGCTGGAATGCGCTCGCCGCATTCGCCTGTTTTGCTGGATTGCAGGTGTGGAACCTGGGGGCGCCGTGAAAAAAGTACCAGCGCGGATGGCAGATACTACAGGGGACAGTTCCGCTGTCGAATTTCTGCTCCTTTCTGTGCAAAAGTGAACACAAACTCTTAGTCGAAGCGGCTTGCCGAGAAGCGTCTTGCCAAGCATAAGGCCAACGCAAAGTTGCAACAACTCTGACCAGCGGCTATGCCGCAAAGCTTCCGGCAGCTGCTCAAAGATCAGCCAGGCATGCAACGTCCCGAAAGATTTCCGGAGTTCGCAACAGGCAAGTCCAGTGGCCAGTTGTCAAAGACTTCAGCAAGAAAGTCATCGAGATCAAAAGGGGTGCCTTTCCCCACATTCTGCTGTCAACTTGCACACAATCCACGTCTAAATGCGTTTCATTTACAATGTTCACATCCAGCCACATGTAGACTGCTTGTCCGTGCCTGATGGCATGCGTAGCACGGCGGTATGCCCAAGGCCTGACAGGAAACTGAAATGAGCAGGACAGCTGGACATGTCCACCGGCAAATGGAGAAAGAGTGTCACATGATGCATGCCACAAGTATTGAACTTGACTTACTGAGGTCGCATCTGTCTGTGCCGACGGTGAGGAGTCATAGCCTGCAGCACTGCAAACTCTAAAGCTTATGGCTGCGGTGCTATGGCTGCGTTGCCGAGAAAGAACTCACAAACAGGGGTCGGATCACAAAAGAAGCACCATACAGTAGTGAGAGCTGCAAGACACAAAGGGTCTCAAGCTCAAGAGGCACGCCAACGAGAGAGCACCAAGCTCCTTGCGGGACCCTGCGGCGAGCTGGAAGAGTCCCTCAAAAAGCGCCACCACGCTGCGGCCGCCTGCAAAGAGCAGCTGCCGGAGTCGGGGACGGCTTGCTTCTGCTTGCGTCTTCTAGCAGCCACGAGAGCTTCCATAAAGCTTCCTCTGAAATCCTATCTGCGGAGGGCTCTGCTCACCCTGCTCGCCCTGCTCGCCTTGAGGTGGCCTAGTCCGAGTCCAAGCTTGCGTTGGAAGCAGCCACACGTCTTCGCTCCAGTCCTGCAAACTGCGTCCGAGGTCCTAACAGCCCTCCTAACAGTGCCATAGGGTCTCGAACGTGCGTCTCAGCTAGTCCGAACATTCTCGCACAAAAGCATTAGGAAAGTATGGGTGAGCAAAACTTTGCTGCAGACACGCACACACACACAAGATGCTGCCAAGCAGAGCGCCCTGCCTTCCACCAGGACTGCGGTGCCTTACCAAGGCAGTGGTCGGCCAGTGATAACATGCCAGTTCGGCACCGCATGCACCGCCATATGCCATGTCTGCTTCACACCTTCCTCACCTTCAGAGAAAGAAACACTACGAACGATGTCGTACAGTATCGTACCCCAGCGATGAGCCCCAGAGCTTCGGAGCATTTTCGGAGCTCGGCTCGCGGCGCAAAGGCTCGGCAGGCTGGAAGTGCAGTGCCGCAGGTCCTGTGCAGGCGGCCCTTGAGGCTTTGTATGTTTACAGGCCGTATGGACTTCCCCAACCCCTTCACCTCCGGTGGCTGGAACCAGGACCTGGAGAATGGACGCTCAGCTGCAAGCACCGACTTTAGCAGCCCTAGAGCCCACAGCTTGGCAGGTACAAGGTGCCACACTGGTGCCACACAAGAATCACAAGATCAGAATTGGTCCAAGGCCCACACGTTGCCATGTCTCCATTCGTTGTCGCCGCGAAGAGGCAGTACATGTCGAACAGTTTGCCTCATGAGGGGTCCCTGCGGGTGACTCAGAGGCTTCCGTTGACTGCGAGAAACGCACAAGTCTGGCGGATTCCGGCGGCCTTGCGCCTCTGTCAAATTCCAGCTCGAGGATATTGCTGGAGCCGTCAGCCTGAAGTCTGCCGTGCCGAGTTCTAGCTGACAAAACTGACTACAGCAGTGACGGCGCTTCATGGCGCTTCATAGCGGCTACAGTGCACCGACGCGCAAAGCACAACACAAGTGCATCGGAGTTAAGGCCCCGGCGCCAAGTCCCTCCAGTCGCCCGAGTTCCACTCGTGCATGGGCCGACCCTGGGCTTTGAGGGCCCGGCCTCCCACGTGAGACGGGCTCAGAAAACTTCTCTGCCAAGACTTAGCCGGCTGTCTACCACTGCGTCCTGCGGAGGAGGACCCCCTGTGAGTATGTAACGGATCAAAAGGTACACAGCACCACTTAGCTGACAGATTCTGCGCCACATGCGTGCATCTGACCTGGCATAGGGTGTGAACGACAGCATGTCGACAGAATCTGATGCCAGCACTTGCAACCCAGGCCTCCAGCTCCCAAGGCACCCTGAGCTCCTTGCCTGCAATAGGATGAGTGCATCACCGGAAGCTGTGCCTAGAGTCATAGAGAAGAACCTAGCAGCTAGCAGCACAAATCATGGCTTCCGCTAATGTTAATGATGCTCGTAGATGAAAACAAGGTGGACAAGGCTGTACAACGGACATGTCCTCTCTGAGTTGCAGTGAACCCTTATGCTCACAGACACTCTTCGGAGCTGAGACGCGAACAGCGTCTTCTCCATCAGCGACACAGCTGTTATCCGCCAGCCGCTATTTTGGCCTCTCAGCCCCCAAGTCTGCACAACCTCATCCTTGGCAATTGAAATTGACAGCTGGAGGCTGGCAGCACAAGAGTGCGTAGTTGCAACCCATCTCTTGCTCTTTTCTCTCGTGCTGCTCGCCTACCAAAAGCGCCGCCGCCTCACCAAGGGTCCACCACCTCAGGACAGCACAAGGACAAGACAAGACAATGCAAGGCGTCGGCCCATGTCGGGAGTTTTGTAAACGCTTACATGCACGTGTTATGATCACTCACCTGTGTCTACATGTTGCAGATATGTTCACCTTTTTTTGTGCCTTCTGCCACTACGTCACCAGGCAGCTGGGTGCTCAGAAAGTTTGTGGGCGACATCAGCAATGCACTGCAAAATCCATCAAGCGGTACGAGCATCCGAGACGCGGGCACTTCTTCAGGCCTCAATGTCAAAGCTCTGATTCTTCAGTGGTCAAGTCCGATGTTGGCGCGGAAACACCCCAAGACACCAAGCCTCTAGCCGGAAGGGCAGCACGTGCCATGAACTCTGCCTTCTCAAGACTTCGAGAGGAGCGAAAGCTGGAGAAGGTGCGCTGAACTGCCCCAAAAGCAAAACCCCAGCGAAGCAGATCTTGCAAAGCCGAGTCTAAGAGCGATTGTTTACGGCCAGGTTGCAGCAGGAGTCCAAGACCTGGCTCTTCCCAGCAAGGATTCACCTCGTCCACAGCTCTCATAATATTGAGAGTTGTGGCTTGCCAAGCAGTATCCCGAAGCCTCGTTCCCGCAAAGCGTTGTGCAACGAAACCGTTGCCGGAGCCAGCTCAGGTACCAGCCCTGGCCCAGGAGCTCAGGACGGTGTCAGTTCGTGGCCGAACCGCAACACGAACACACCAACGTGTCGGGTCCAATGTGGGCTTAAAAGGCTGCTTCTTAGGAGTCATTTTTTTGCTGGTTGGCTCACAAGTTGAGCCACGCCCAACCCCCCCACATGTGCAGGCGACTCCTCACCTCCGGAGCCTCATCATTGGACCAGGCACCTCTCGAGTTCTAAGAGCTTCTGATGTTGAGGGGCTGTTGCTGTACTTGAGCTTCTGGGGGCTTCTGCTCTCAGAAAAGAAGCCCAGAAAAGAAGCCCAGAAACCCCGAAAGTGCCTTGGCAGCCCTCCCGGAGTCGTATTGCCAGCGAGATGGGCGAGGCCGCTGCGAGCAGGCCTCTCTGGAACTCTTGGGTCTCAAGGTTATGCCCATCAAAAAGACCTCGATATCCCCTGGTCTAGATCTGCCGCTCTTTCTTGCTCTACAGCACAGGCAAAGCAGTCCATGACGGTAGCGACTGGGAGAAATTGATTCTCTCCTATCAGCAAGCCTTCCTTCGGCCTACATCAGGACTACATCCACTAACACAGCGGCGCTGGGTATCCAGCCTGCCGAGGCCAACGACTCGACCGAATTCCGCAGCAGCGACACGGCCTCTTCCGCCGAGTGGGCGATCTCGATGCACAGCCTGCAAATCACAGATTCAAAACAAATCCTCCCTCCAAGATACGTGAGAACCTAGACTATGCCTTGGTGCAAACGTGAAGAAGCGGCGGCGCTCCTATTTTCAGAACCAAAGGTTTCAGACCCAGGCACGTTCATGAAAACCCAACCATCGCAGGACAGAGTCTCATGCACCTTACCCAGAGCCCTCGGAGCAGGTCCTGGGCTTCAGCATCCTGTGAAGCGTTGTAACCTGTGACGCGAGCTCGGATCATTCAAAGAATAAGCCTCTTTCAGGCACAGGCACCTCTGAATGAAAGCCAGAATTCGGATGGTTCACGAGGTCGAGCGCCTCGGTCCGTGCTGCAACTGACATCGAACCCAAACCGATACCCAGGGACTCCAAAACCCTTCCACCACATAAGGAACCCTCTAAGGAATATTCCTTCAGGGGTATACAACAGTATGCTGGAGTCTCTGGCTTTCAGCCCTAAACCCTGCCTGCTGCTGGGAAGTTCAGGACTCGTCGCAAGGCGTGCCTGAGGCGAAAAAGTTCCTTTCTGGAAAAAGTCACTATTGTATATACATATATACATAAGTAGAACATTGTACTATGTGTATATACAAATATTAGAATATACCCTATTTTTTTGCAGTTAGGCCCATCCCTAAACAAACCGGAGAAGACGGTGCCTCGGCTGAGCGCATTTCAGCTTGGGCCGTGGCAGCGACTGGAGGTAGAGGAAGGTTAGCACACCAAGCGGCCTACGAACACAAACAACAGAGCTTTGAAAACTTCAGATGTCATCAGGCTTGAGGCGCTTAGGGCCTTTGGAGTCTTATGGCTTCGGGCCCTCCGGCATTTGGCTTTTGTGCTCTCGGGTTGCCGGGTCGTAGCACTTGGGGCTGTAGCTTCCAGAGAAATGGAACTGTCTTGTGCACAGGCTGGGATACTCGAATTAAGACCTTTTGGGGGGCCTCTTCGCCTCGCCCCACCGAAAGACAGCGCAGAGGGCTCCAGAGAAGCAAAGTCGAAGAGCTTCGCGGCGAGCTTGCTGCTTCCTCGAGTTGTGCCAAATTGCAAAAGACCCTGGCTGTGAACTGCAAAAATGATCACATGGCGAACGTGTCAGACATAAGACAATCGGCCAAGTTGCCGTAGATTAGCCTTGCATGCCACGTGATTGGCCACACACCACGGAAGAAGCAGAACTTAAACAACTAAGGGTAGTGAATGCGTTTAGCGTCGCTTCACATTGTCTCCTGCCGAGAGGCACAGGATCTGTCCTCGACTCCATGTGCCACAAGAAGATCCTAACGTCGTCAGGCACGCACGACCCCCGGGTGCATAACAGGAAGCTTGGCAGAGCATTCGATTTAACCCAGGCAAGGATCAAGGCAGCATATGCCAAAGCAAACCCTGCAGGACAAAGAAGTTTCACCTGAGCAAGTCCGCTTCAAGTATTCCTATGCGAGCATCGGATCAAGATCCAAACGAGCGTCTTCCGTTTGGTTCATGACAAAGTGGGAAAAGCAACTTTTACATTTAGTGGCAAGTCCAAGATGCATGTGCCAGCTCCTGGCTATCCTTGCCAAAGCTCAGGAGTTCTTTCTTTCATTTAAAGATCTTGAACAGGCCGCAACAGACCGACACATCATGCACATCCATTCCCTCAGCAAGTGGCAACATATGGCAAGGAACTGGACCATGCGGCTTCGGCACTCGGTAGATAATCTCATCGGCGAATTTGATGAGAAACCTGCGAATGTTTGTTGAACAAGTGCCCAGATGAAGACTTTTTAGCAAACAATCACCTTGCACTGTCTCTAGTACCAGTCTGTTTCCTGACTCATTCCCCGCTTTCTTTCTCTGAGTGATGCAACTTCAACCCTTCCTAACTTGTACCTCACAAACTCAAGCCCAGCTCCCGCCCGTACGGTGCGAATGGCAGGCCGCGGCTGCAATCATAGCTAGCTGCACAGGCCAAAACCTGACCAGCAATCATTCTCAACAAGAATCAACAACATCTTCCCTGAATGGCTACGGCATGTTGAGGCCACTGCAAACACAGCGTGGAAAACAGAAAACGATTTCGCACGCTTCCAGCATGGCGAGCAGTGCCTCCGAAGCTCGCGCGTGCAAATCTCGCCATGGAAGCGACGTGGAGTTGTAATCTGGGCCTGGGCAACGTGGAACATACTGCGCATGTCTGCCGTGCAGCATCTTGCGCTGGGGTCACGGCACAACTCCAGCTGCCATCCCATCAGATTTGCATTAGATCTGTCTCACACTTATATAAGGGAGAAAGGTCGTTGGCACACTCCGCAAAGAACCTGGTCCACAAATGCCAAAACAAAACAATCCTACATCAAGCTATCATAGCTTGCCATTTGGTGGTGCTTGAGGAAGCGGCGCTTCGACTGCAGCACTGGTAGCAAACATGTGCCAATGTTGTGGCCACTACAACACATGTGACATAGGCCCATTTCTTCAGCAGCCGACGCTGCAAGCAGCTGGCTAAATGCCAACGTCACTCAGCGTTTGTTGTGTTGATAGCAACTTCATCCCCGGCTTTGCCGGGCGGGCGATTGCTGCTGAAATTAATTTGCTGAAGGCCATTCGCTTGACGAAAAGCCGTCATGAGCTTGTCAGTTCGACCCCGCTCTTTTTGTCATGGCTAATTCACTTGTACCTAGGGGGCGTGCCGGGAGTCGACTCGGGATTCATCCATGGCCTGGCCTTCCATCTGCGCGATGAGGAAACCGCACCCCACCCAGGTGACGATGATCATTGCAAACATCACCAAGACGAAGAAGAAGTGCAGAGCGCTGAAATGGTTCAGACCGTCATTCCAAGTGCACGTTATGGGGAAACATGGTATGGGAATCTCGAAGAAACCTTGGATGATGGAGTTCACTTAATTGCATCACGTTTTTCAGTCCCTGTCATGCTTGTGACTTGTGGCAATGATGCGAGAACCTGTTAAAACGGAGCTACAGAAGTCAACCGACAAATCACCCTCGAGTTCCTACAACTGCTGGCCGCGCAGCCCAGCCAAAGATGAAGAGTCGGTGGCTGCGCACCAACTGGAAGATCGTTGCAGGTGTGCCTGGAAATGGGCAAGAAACCGGTACAAGATCCATCTACAATAGGCAATACGCATGAACACAACACAGCCAAGCTACAGTATCTCTTGGAGAGTCACAGTGCAGTTGGGATCCACCTTCTCGTGTGTGAGCTTCTGCCCGGCAAGCACGTCCTTCTCGATCATGTCAACAAATAGGTTTTTGTCCAGGTTGCATCTCTCTCGGTAGAATCTCGCTTTATGATCTAAAACTGGGAATAACACTCCGAAATTGTTTATAACGGCGATCTCCGAATACCGCTGGAAGCACGCCCCACAGTAGAAATGTGAAGACATGAAGGCCCCTGACACGATCAGAAGTATCAGAAATAGTTGGCGCACGCACACTGCTTTGGCACGAATGAACCTGTCGATGTTGGCAAGCTTTGCCTCGTCAGGCTCTTGTGACCTAAAGCCGCTGCTATCGAGCAACTCATAGGCCTGCTTGAAGTCCGCAGCGCTTTGATAAGGGATCAGTTCACCTGTCCTTGAACTCTGGATGGTAAGATCGAAGGCGCCAAGCCCACGGCTGGGCTTCGAATGCTCCTGTATGTCGAGCAAAATCCATGCAGGGAGTGGGAAAGTGTAATTTTTTCTGCAAGGCTCCATACGAATGCGGACTGCACCATCTTCGTTCACCATCCAGTACAACAACATCTTAGGGCTTACATAACAGTCGCAAATGTCCTCACTTCCCACTGAATGCATTTTCTTCACACAAAACCGCACATTGCTCTCCAAGGGCGAAGACCTCACCTTGATGATGAGGGTATCTGGAAAGGCCACGACTTTGGGCTCGCAATTTTCCACCACTGCCGTGATTTGTGGTGGATTGCTGCTTGTTTCAACCGTCAAGTAGTAATCGCCAGCACGAGTTGCCGGGACATCGCCGACAACTATGTTCGTAAGTTCGATCGGAATCTGGGCGACGCCCAAGGTCTGTCCAAGCAAACGCAAAAGGTTCTTGCCTTTGCTACTGCGGAAAGGCCAACAAGACGAAGATGTCAAACTCCGCGTCCATTCACACTCGCATGTCCCACAGCACGTAATCAACTGCCAGAGTGTAGAATTCAAATCGAAGTGTAAGCGATCGTCCCCTGTCAACAATGTGATCACGCGGTCCCTGTACAAGTAAAGGAAATACAAGCCAACAACGATCAACGCCATAACCATGATGTGGTTTGCGTCCGCGACGATGTCAAATGCCAAAGCCGGGACCACCAACTCTGCGAAGCACCATGTTGCCAACCAAGCTCTGGTCCAACACATTGGCCGCATTTCTACTCTTCTTACTCTGGCCTCCGGACTGCAATCGTTGCAAGCTGAGCCAAAAACTCGGTGCAAACTCAAGTGTGGCTGGACATTTGGTCATGACAACTATGAACCGCCGGTTGAATAAGCGACTCTGCATAATCCTCTGGTACGAAAAGTCTATGAAAGTCTCAAAGACAACGGACTAAGTGATTTCCGCATGTTGCTTGCGTCCCCAAACGTATGTCACAAGCACAAAGTAACCGTTCTTCTCAGCGAACAACAACAACAACAACAACAACAACAACAACAACAACAACAACAACAACAACAACAACAACAACAACAACAACAACAACAACAACAACAACAACAACAACAACACCAACAACAACAACAAAAACAAAAACAACAACAACAACAACAACAACAACAACAACAACAACAACAACAACAACAACAACAACAACAACACCAACACCAACAACACCAACACCAACAACACCAACAACACCAACACCAACAACACCAACACCACCAACACCAACACCAACAACACCAACACCAACAACACCAACACCAACAACACCAACACCAACAAAACCAACACCAACAAAACCAACACCAACAACACCAACACCACCACACCAACACCACCAACACCAACACCAACAACACCAACACCACCAACACCAACACCACCAACACCAACACCACCAACACCAACACCACCAACACCAACACCACCAACACCAACACCAACAACACTAACACCAACAACACCAACACCAACAACACCAACACCAACATTTCATTTCATTTCATTTCATTTCATTTCATTTCATTTCGGACGCATGCGCGGGTCATGTCCCACACCTTGGCGGGCATCGAGGGTGAAAAAGGTGTCTCCTATCTGTGCAGGGCCTGGTATCAGTCCGATTACGCTCTGACTCTGACGTCTGTGCAGTTGAGATCTGTATAGTTGGGTTGCGACTTGCTGCGAGATCGGTCTTCAGTCCATAGCGCACATCCATCTTCTGAGATCTGCCATACCACGTCTTCTATCAGGCATCGAGCAGTTACAGCCTTCACACGCACCGAGACTACTTCCCTTCCAACCTACAGGACGCTCACAGGATGGGAGCTTCTGGGTGGATTTTCTTGGTTTCTATAGGTGGTTCATGTGGGTGATTCTGATGTGCGGTTCAGTCCAGTTCATGCACCCGGAAAGCCTTACTAATAGAGGTTGTATTCATGAAGGTTATTGTTCCCTTGATTCTATAGGGTCATTAACTGGTTCTGGAGAGCGTACCACAAGCCCCTTCATGAATGGTTGCTTTTACTTTGTTCGTGCTTACATTCACTGCACGCGTCATTCTATTCCTTGTCAGTTCATTTCATTCTTGCTTCGTATTAATATTAAAAGAGCGTAGTGATTACGGATACAAATGAAGAGAGTGAAAAGAACGTAATGCGTGAGCCGTGTAAACTTGCGAACGAAACAAGACTATGAAATTTACACGCGCGAATAAAATAATGTGTGCGCGTTTTAATTTAGTTTATTCTCTTCTTCGACCTCAGGCGCTGAAGCGTGCTTCAACTTTGTACCGAGTTCAACAGTATCTGAAAACGGCCAGAACCACAGGGCATCCGCAGTAAAGAACGGCTGGCGGTTTCAGCAACAAGAACACCAGCTCTTGAGAGGAGAGCTCCTAGAGATCTTTGAAGACGCTCTACTACGACAGGTGAACAATGTTTCTTCCGGGCTACTGCCAAGCCAGACCTCCGACTCCGACAGATTGCAGCCAGGACTTTTAGAGGTGTGGCACTTTGCTTCTATCAAATCATCAATCCGCTACATGAAGACATCTATGAAGAGCCAAACCTTTCAGTAGCATACAAAATGCTCACCTTCCTGCATCGCAGACAATTTAAATCTTACTTGTTAGCTTGCGAAGCAGCTATCTTAGTTTTTCTCACGGAGAAAACTGCTCACGGAGAAAGTAAACTGGCGCAGAGAACCCTGCGACTGTACATTCCTCTCACGACATCCAGGCAGCTGTCCAGGAAGTGAAAGCATGCTGATAACTGAACCGCTTGATGACGACTTGTCCTGTCACAGCAAGTGTCAGCTTGTCTTCATCTCCCAGGCGATCAGAAACTACACCAATGAAGGCTGAGGACTCAACTCATTCCAGTTCAAAGACGCGAACTCCACAGTTGGACACTTTTGAATCTGTTTGACACGTTATTTTGGAAGAGGATTGCCACAGCCTCAGCTGGCAAGTCTGCGCGGTGCAGCCGTTTGTGTTCCAGCGCTTCATGTCTGCAGGCAGCTGGCAGTGTGCAGGCAGCAAGTGCATTATCTTTTTGGCTTTCATGCAGCCGCTGCAGAAGATCAAGTAAAAGTGTAAAATCTGAAAAGCTCAGAATGGGATGCTTCGTTGCGGTTTTGCTGCTGCTGTGCAGAAGGTGATCCCTTGCACACGAGCAGCATTCTTACCGATGAAGCTGCAGAATTGGGATGCCAGCGATCAGAATGCGTTATTGCATTGTCTGCAGGTTTTCTGAAAGCCGCATGTCCAGGTTAATGACCGAGGCTTCCGGGAAAGGCCCTTAAATACCATTGTGGGCACAGCGGACTTGCCGCAATGCACAACTCTTGCACTGGAAAGTAATGCAAAAGCCCTCCACTTTGGGCGTTGCTTGAGAACGGCTGCACACAATCCCAATTCTTCAGAACTCACAAGTACGAGGAATGTTCTTAGGTGCTCCTCTCTTCTTCTCCCCGTTAAAGGGCATGGCATGAAAGTACAGTACGCAAAAACCACCAACTTTGATGAAAAGAGGTGGGCACAGAAAACCCAAGTTGAGAGGCACTTTTATGGAGGCCTAGTACCTGGGCCTTCTTCGCGCCGTTTACGCCCGCGTCTCAAACCCCCCTTTCAAGCCCCCCTTGAAACCTCCCTTTGCAGCTTCCTCTGATCCCTTGAAGCCCCCCCTTGCAGCCTCCCTAGCCTCCACTAGAAAACATGGGGTTTTGCTTAGCCCCTTGCCACACGCACTGGAGATGGGAGGCGTCGGGAACTCGCAGGCCGAAGCCGCTTCCCTTACAAGACATGGGGTTCTTGGCCGAGCCCGTGCCACAACAAAAAAAACATATTCAAGCCAAAAACATGCTGCTGCGTCGTAAAAAGTCTCCACTCCTCTGATTTTCGAACAATGAAAAACAAAAACAAAACAAGATTTCAGGGAGGTGGAATTTAAACTAGAATCCCTTCTCTTTCTTCCTTAATTTTTCGAATAACGAAAAACAAAAAACAAAAAAATTCGAGGGGCGTAGAATTTAGAATAACTTCCCTTCTCTCTTCTCCTCGGATTTTTCGAATAATGAAATACAAAAAACAAAAAAGATTCGGAGGTGGAATTTAGAATACGTTCCCTTCCCAACAACAAGTGAATGGGGGCTCCACTCCTCTGATTCTCGAACAATGAAAGACAAAACCAAAAAAAAAGATTCGAGGGAAGTGGAATTTAAACCCCTCTCTCTTCTCCTCTAATTTTTTTTCAAAGAACCAAATACAAAACCAGAAAAGTTCAAGTAGGACGACAAGAAGCAAGGAGGCATGGATTTTAGAACAATTTTTTTTTCTTGCCCCCCTTGAAGCTCCCTTAAAGTCCCCTTAAAGCCCCTTAAAGTCCCCCTTGAAGTCCCCTTGAAGCTCCCCTTGAAGTTCCCCTTGAAGCCTTCAAGTCCCCCTTCAAGCCCCCATTGAAGCTTCCCCTTAAAGTTTCCCCTTCGAAGGTCGAAGCCCCCTCGGGCCCTTCAAGAGGAACCCTTCAGGAAACCCTTAAAGCCCCCTTGAAGCCCCCCTTAAAGCCCCCCCTTAAGACCCTTTGCTAAAAGGGGGAAGGATTGCCAATCAGCCAGCATTTGCATTACATCCTTCTTCCCAGCAACGGTTCAAGTTTGATCTTATTCTGGACAAGAAAAACGCGGAAGATGGCAGGATCACACCCGATCCCAAGCAGCCATGGCGGAACACTGCTGAAAGGTGGAACACAACAAAATGAAGCGCGGCAGTTCAGTTTGTCTGACTTTGCTGTGCACTCTGCATCTTTGCCAAGTGATCGGTGGCCTGCAAGCAACATTTTGCACCGGTCGGCAAGTTCTCGCCATGCGCACAGCACTTCTTGGATTTAGAAGGCAGCTTACTCGACGTCGCGCCAATCTTAAGGTGGTCGCTCTAAAAAAGAGTCGAAGGGACCCGTCGCTCTTACTACTCAGTCCATGTTTCTGCTTCTGCCTTCACGCTTTAAACTGCTCCCGGAAACCCGTACAGGGAGCAGTTTAAGAGGCCTCATAACTGGGCCTGCTTCGCAGAGGTTTCAGGAAGCAGTTTAAGAGGCCTCATAACTGGGCCTTCTTCGCGAGGTTCCAGGGAGCAGTTTAAGAGGCCTAATAACTGGGCCTGCTTCGCAGGGGTTTCAGGGAGCAGTTTAAGAGGCCTAATAACTGGGCCTTCTTCGCGAGGTTCCAGGGAGCAGTTTAAGAGGCCTAATAACTGGGCCTGCTTCGCAGGGGTTTCAGGGAGCAGTTTAAGAGGCCTAATAACTGGGCCTGCTTCGCAGGGGTTTCAGGGAGCAGTTTAAGCCGGGCGCGGCGTGACAAGTGGCAATGAAAGAAAAGAAAAAGTTTCTTCTTTCTTTAGGCGCGGCGCCAGCCGCGGCGGCGACCGCCGCGCATGGCGCCGCGCCTTCACGGAAGAGCTGCGCCGCCAAGAACAACCTGCCACCTCTGGCGCCGCGTCTGTTTAAGCAAGCACCGCCCACAGTGCCATAGCCAGTTCTCTGCGCCTACTCTCTCTAACCTCTAACCCGACTCGAGCACGTTAGCAGCAAACGCCCAACCCTACCGCGAC